GTATATATATTGTATATTAAAACCAATTCATTTTCCATCTCTATCACCATCAACCCAAGCACAAACTCTACATATTATATTCACATATATGTTATACGTTATAATTATATATATTATATACATAAATATTATGTATATGAATACATTGTATATTAAAACCCATTCGTTTTCCATCTGTATCACCATCAACCCAACACAAGCACAAACTCTAAGAGCTGTACTTAAATTTTCCAGGATTCTCAATGTTTATTAAATTGTTTCCGCTTTCAGGAATCCACGCCAGGGGAAATATATTTAGGGCAGATTTTTCCAAAACGATTCTCTTAATTTTCACCGGCAAAATCGAGCTCAAAATTCGGGCAACTCCAACTTCGAGTTTATTTTGAGGTTGGAAGGAGCCAAAGTTGGTCCCCGTAACTGAAATCAGAAGCCATTGCAGAAACAGACCGAGGAACAGGTAAAATTCCTCCCGTAGGGGTATTTCTACAAGGAGAAATCCGCTTTTATCAGGATAATTTCGCTGTGAAAATGCACTCGGAGGAACAGTTTAGGACCCAAACCTTTACTGATGCAGGGAAGAGGATGCAAACTCAGGCTTCACTCTTCAGAGCTTTAAACGAATCAAATAATTAATTAAGAGCGATTACACTTGACAGGAAGCCTAAATTATATTTTATTTCCTAATTAATGTCATCATTCAACTTCATACGCAAAGGGAGAACGGGAAGAGCGCCTCAACTTGAGCATCGCAAGAGCCCCAAACGCTTGGCGGAGTTATCAATGCTTTATTAATTCAAGCTATAAATGCTTTATTAATTCTGGCGTGATCATCCTCTGACACAGAAATCAGCTAAGTCACAACATACTGTGTACAAGTTTGAAATCTTATTTAAAGGCTCGTAGCGAGACATCCTAAATTCGGGTTCAAAACACCTTTCCGCGGGCTAAATGAAGCCAAATAACCCAGCGCTCTGCTCTAGAAATCGGTGGTCCAAGGAAAACCCCTTGCATCACCCTAAAAGTCAAAATTGGGGGTGTCTGAAATAATCACTTGGGAATTTATCCCAAATTCCAGCTGTTTTGAGTATCCTTTATTTCTCACTTTCCAAAAGCACCTGCTACTCCCTCCAGCTCGCGACGCCTCTCTGCGCGCCACAGCCATGAACTAATTTGGATACCAGACACCCAACCGTTATTTCTCATTGCTCCTCCTTTGCGTCTTCGCAGGCAGCTCGCCAATGCTATTTTGACTTCTTCATTGGGATTTCGAGCGTCATGAAGTCCTCAGCCAGCGTGACTTCTTGGCCACCCAGCACCGCCTCTGCCTGTCTCTTCAGCTCGGCGACGTCCGCGTCTCCCTCCCCTCTCAGCGCAGCGGGTTTGTAGCGCTGACTGAAGTGATTCAACACCAGCTTCTTAACTTGACACCGTTTTGCAAACCCCGATGCCATTTTTGGGGTGCTGTGCCCGTGCTCTCTGGCTTTTTCCTCTTGGGTATCGTCCAACGTGGCTTCGTGGATCAGGACATCCGCTTCACGGCAAAGCTTCGCGGCTGCATCTCCAACCGTCCCGGAGCAATCCCCCAAAATGCAGATTTTCCTTCCGGGAATAGGATCTTCTAAGACGTCTGCAGGAGAAATCGTGAGTCCGTTTTCGAGAACGATTGCTGCTCCATTCTTCAGTTTCCCATATAAAGGACCTGGTTGAACTCCTGGGAAAGAAAGAGAACAGAATCCGTAAGTGTTAAGGTGTCAGCTTTCCAAAAAATAAATCACTTTAGGAGAGATACGCTACGTACAGAGCTGTCTCGCTGAAAAAAACATCACCTTAATATAAATAGCAATTGATAGGCCACGTATTTCATATAAATAAAGAGCTTGTAGCGTTAGCAGGAAGTGTGTTTGAGGAAAAGCTACGTTCTTCATATTATAGCCAATAAATGCACTGGCCATGCATTTACGGACAGCCACATTGTGCTTTTTAAACTTCAATATCTGAACCTGTTTGCTCTTCTCAGCACGATATTAATTGGCACCGGTGTTGCACAGCAACTCAGCCCCCTGCCTTGGTATGGAGTGTTAAAATGTCTTTATTATGAACAGGAAAACTGAATTTAAATGCATTACGGGGAGCTACAGCAGCTCTAATTTGCTTGAACCCCTACAAAGGTGGCCATAAAATGATTTCAGCTGCTTGTGAACCCCGATTTGGTGACGTTTGCCGAAAATGGGCATCTCTACTCAGCTTGTAACGCATGCATTTCAAAATTAAGAGGAAAAGTAAAGCAAAGCACTTACCAAGCTCTTTCAGTTTCTGGACATTGAGTTTACCCGCCCGGGGCTTCTCTTCCAGCACAAAACCAAAGGAAGGAATGCGGTGAAAGAGGCGAAACGCTTTCACCACCAACTGCTCATCCTCAAGCAGTAAATAGGACTTTTCCACTGGATCCAGGTGGAGGATTCTCCCTTGAGCTCCTTGCAGAGAAACCTCATCTCTGGCTAAGTCCGAAAACTCCTTAAATTCTTCCGCAGGGCACTGGTCCCGTGTGGGCACCAGTTCATGAACGGTGTAGGGAAAAGAAGTTGGGAGTGGGAGAGCTCCATGCTCCTCCAGATGAAGTCTCGGAGTCCCAGTGGCCCATAAATATCAACTGGGGGTCTGGTTTGGTCAGGGTTGGTTTGGAGGCTGAGGGTGCACAGCAGGCCGGGAAGTCCAAAAAAGTGGTCACCGTGAAGGTGCGTTATGAAAATCTTGGTAATTTTACCTATGGGTTACAACAGGAAAAGAAAGCAGAAAAAAGATGGGAAATAATAGGGTCACAATAACCCCATGCAGCGCTACAGGCTTGGGGCCCAGTGGCTGGAAAGGAGCTGGGGGTGCTGGTGGCAGCAGATGCCCAGGAGGCAGCAATGTGCCCTGGTGGGCAAGAAGGCCAAGGCCATCGTGGGGTGGAGGAGAAGGGGTGGTTGGAGGGCACAGAGGTTCTCCTTCCGCTCTGCTCTGCTCTGCTCAGACCCCATCTGCAAAATTGTGTCCAGTTCTGGTCCCTCAGCTCAAGCAGGACAGGAATTGCTTGAAGAGTCCAGCAGGGCCACAGAGAAGAGGTGCGGATCCAGCAGCCATGGTGAGACAGTGGCCTTGCCATGTTTCCTTATCATACAAGCGCTATCACTTGGAGAAGTGAACACTGCAGGAGCATCTCCTGCTGAGGAGCAACTGAGGGAGCTGGGGCTCTTGAGCTTGGAGCAGAGGAGCCTGAGGGGTGCCCTCATTCCTGGGTCTCCATTTGGAAAGGGCAGTGTCAGGAGGAAGGAGCCAGGCTCTGCTCTGGGCTGGCCAATGCCAGGACAAGGGGCAATGGTCCCAAGCTGGAGCACAGGAGGCTCAAGCTGAAGGTGAGGCCAAAGTTTGTGAGTGTGAGGGTTATGGAGCATGGCCCAGGCTGCCCAGAGAGGTTGTGGAGTGTCCTTGTGTGGAGACCCCCAAAGCCCTGGCCGTGTTCCTGTGGGACTGCTCTGGTGATCCTGCTCTGGCAGGGGTTGCACTGGGGGAGCTTTCCAGGGCCCTTCCCACTCCTCATATTCTGGGATCTGTGATTCTCTGATAAATGAACAGCGTAACAACTCAGAAATAATCACTTTTGGGCCAGAAGCGGGAAGTAAGGAAGGAGGGAAATGAAAATAAAAGCAGCATTTAAGAAAGAAATCCCAAAGTACAAAGTGTTTTTTTCCCATAATAGCAATAAACAAAATGAAGTGCTGGAAAGGGGTTGTGCTTTGATACATTTGATAGAAACTGCGGACTCATGGAAAATACAAAAGGTAATTTGTGTTAGAGATCTTAGTTTAGAATCTAGCACATGAAACGACCATCATTAAAATAAACAGAAGGAAAAGCAGCCAGTTTTGATCTGAGAGGTTTTTAAAAGGGAACAACCTGACGGATCCTGACTGGTTTGTTTCGAACAGATGAAAAATTGCACTTAAAAGATTTGGGCTTTGTTTTGTGTCTGAGTTTGTCTCACCTCAGCTCCCCAGCACTACACTCTCCCTGCTTTCAGTTTAGTAAGAATCAGTAAATTCAGTCAAAATTACTGTGTTCGCTTGGTCATTAAATCCCCCGATCGCTTCCGATTTTGGGGGAGCAGGAGGTTGCTCTTCTGTTTGTAATTGCTTTACAACTTTACATCTCAACATCTTTACAACTCAAAAGTCTGAAGCCTCTTGCAAAAACCCAGTGACTAAAGGGAAGCCTGGTTTCTCCTTTATTTGCCAAAATGCAAGTGACCATAAATCCAACTTTACTTTTGAAAACGAAAGCACAACATTTCTTGATAGGAAGACTCACAGCGGGTATTGTCTAGAGCTGCCATCAGAACTGTGCCAGCTTAAAGCTGTTCTGTGGTCCACATTTTAAACTACCCCACCTAAGAAATTAATGCAGGAAATCTTGGTTCTCGAACGCAATCCTTTACGAAAGGGCAACCCAGGATTACAGCGCAGCAGGTTCA